ACACACACACACAGACACACACACACCACACACACACACACACATACACACACACCTTCACACACAGTTTAAACTTGTACACAATAGTTGCCATGTAACTGTATTTAAACTCTACAAAATGGGAGAGTCAAAATCTTATTTTTGTTAATCTCAACCTAATGCTGATGTTCACTATAACTCAATATTTCTCAGAAACTACCCTGTGTTAGAGTCACCCACGGAACTCTTTAAAATACGGATCACAATGCCCCATTCCCATTGTGCCTGATTTAACTTGTCTGTTGATGTCTGTTGAGGTAGCCTCAAAATTTGAGTTTATAACAGTTGCTGGATGGTGCTGATATTGCTTGGTCAGTGACAACCGTTTGAGAAGTACAGATAAAATCTACAGGGAAAATGATGTCAGAAGATGTAATTGATAGTGTTTCTAATTTATTTTTTAAAACTATTTCCTGGTCCCTCAACCACCACTCAGCTGGTCAAATAAGGCATTTGGATTATAGCCTAAAGAACAACTTCTCCCATTTCCTATGCTCTTGTGCCACTAGGTCAACTCCATGAGTTCTATGCGGTTAAACAATATCATTTTAGTCTTGAAGAGATATTATCTAGAGTGCTTAATTACGACACTGTTTCTTAGAAGAAGCAGTGGCTGGGATGATGGCATGCAACTGACATAAGATGATGAAATGGTGGGTATGCAAACCATAGTCTCAAAGAATTAGGTTAAAGTAGCTAACATGGACTAAAGATATGGCTCAGGGTCTTAAGAGCACTTGTTGATCTTTCAGAGGACCTGGTTTCTTTTCTCAACACCCACCTGGTAGCCACAACTATGCATAATGTCAGTTCCAGAACGTCCTACACCCTTTTCTGACCTCCATAGATACCAGGCCCATGTGTGGTACATATACATACATGCAAGCAAAACACATATAAACAAACAAAATTAAAACAAAGCAAAACAACCCTAGCTAACACTGCAGTGAGACTCGGAGGTAGACACAGTGCCTGTGGAGTCTGTAGTTCCAGGAGCAGAGGCCTAACAACAGATATTACTGAGGCGCTAGCAAAGGATAAGATGAATCAGATGGGCAAGAAGTGGCTACTTTTAAAAATAGTAATTAAACAAATTCCAGAAAATTTGAACTACAAATGAGTAGAAACAGGGAGAGGCTGTGCCACTGTGTGTGACAGCGGGAGACCGCGCCACTGTGCACGTGTGACACCGTGTGTGACACCGTGTGTGACAGCGGGAGACCACGCCACTGTGCACGTGTGACACTGTGTGTGACAGAAAGGCTGTGACAGCATGTGTTACAGTGGGAGACCAGGCCACTGTGCACATGGACACTGTGTGTGACACTGTGTGTGACAGCGTGTGTGTCAGCGGGAGACCACACCACTGTGCAGCATGTGTGACAGGGGAGACCACACCACTGTGCATGTGTGACACTGTGTGTGACAGCATGTGTGACAGCGGGAGACCACGCCACTGTGCACCTGTGACACTGTGTGTGACAGCGAGAGAGACATCGGGAGACCGCGCCACTGTGCACGTATGACACTGTGTGACAGAAAGGCTGTGACTGTGTGTGACAGCGGGAGACCGCGCCACTGTGCACGTGTGACACCGTGTGTGACAGAAAGGCTGTGACACTGTGTGTGACAGCGGGAGACTGCGCCACTGTGCACGTGTGACACCGTGTGTGACAGAAAGGCTGTGACACTGTGTGTGACAGCGGGAGACTGCGCCACTGTGCACGTGTGACACCGTGTGTGACAGAAAGGCTGTGACACTGTGTGACAGCGGGAGACCGCGCCACTGTGCACGTGTGACACCGTGTGTGACAGAAAGGCTGTGACACTGTGTGACAGCGGGAGACCGCGCCACTGTGCACGTGTGACACTGTGTGTGACAGCGTGTGTGACAGCGGGAGACCGCACCACTGTGCGCGTGTGACACTGTGTGTGACAGAAAGGCTGTGACACTGTGAGACAGCGGGAGACCGTGCCACTGTGCACGTGTGACACTGTGTGTGACAGCGGGAGACCACGCCACTGTGCATGTGTGACACTGTGTGTGACAGCGGGAGACTGCGCCACTGTGCATGTGTGACACTGTGTGTGACAGCGGCGGACGCCACTGTGCGAGTGTGACACTGTGTGTGACAGCGGGAGACCACGCCACTGTGCACGTGTGACACTGTGTGTGACAGCGGGAGACCACGCCACTGTGCACGTGTGACACTGTGTGACACCAGAAGGCTGTGACCGCGTGTGTGTCGTCAGCACGAGGGGTGGGGCGGGAGACCAGCCCACTTTGTGGAGGGGGGCTCCGGGGACTGAATACTGTTTTTTTTCTGAGTCTGTGACCCGGCTGTGACACTGTGTGACAGTGAGACCGAGGCTGTGGCGGTGTGTACGACAGTCCACGACCTTTCCGGGGGTGTTGCGAGGGCCTGTGACAGTTTGCGAGACTAAGTACTGGCCATGACCTAGATAGAGGCTGTGACGATGTGTGTGGCAGGATGAGACCGTGTCTTGGTGCTGAAAGGGTGTGTGGCGGGCTAATGAGGCCACCAGAGGCTCTGAGACTGTGTGCAGGGTGTAAGCTGTGTCCTTGAGTCTGAGGCACTGTAACTGTTTGAGGCAGACGTGAGACTGTTTAACATTTAAAAAAATAACTTATTTTTATTTTTTGTGCATTGGTCTTGGGCCTGTGTGTATGTCTGTGTGAGGGACTTAGTTAGAGCCACTGGAACTTGAGTTACAGACAGTTGTCACCTGCCATGTGCATGCTGGGAATTGAACCCCGGTCCTCGGGAAGAACAACCAATGAATTCGGGATTTAAAACGGTGACTGAATACACTTCCCCTCCCTTCCCTTCTTGAGGAAGTTGCTTTTCCAGATCGCACGGTCCCCCGATGCCCACTGTGGAAAGTAGCTTCATTTGGTGGCCTATTTCTCATCCTTGTAGGAAGGGCACATACTTGCTGATAACATCATCATCTGTACACTATAAATTCAAGTCTAGTTTCCAGTTTGGCTCAATTATTTGCTCATGTACTGCCTTGGGTATCTCCAATAATGAAAATCCTTCGTGTGCAAAAGGGTGCAAGATTCTTATTTGATAAAGTCATTCTATTTATAACTTTAAGTGAGATAACGTAGACATGAAATACACTTTGAGTTCTGGAGTTACAAAGTACACAGGGAAAAATAATTGTAAATTTAAAGATGCCTCAAATGTACGTCTGTGATGGAAGAAGGGAAAAGAAAAGGAATGGAAGCCAAGCCTCTAGGCTAGTGATGCTGGGACCGCCGGGTGCACCTGGAGCTTACGCTTTCTTTTTTCTGTCCAGCTCTGCTTTCTCAGGACATCGCCCCCTCCCAGAAACACAGTCATATATCCTTGAAATTTTCACGCCATGTCCAAGGTAAGAAGCATTTTTGGTGGGGGCGGGTTGAGGGGGTTTTGAGACAGGGTTTCTCTGTATTGTTTGGAGCCTGTATTGTCCTGGAACTAGCTCTGTAGACCAGGCTGGCCTCGAACTCACAGAGATCCGCCTGCCTCTGCCTCCCGAGTGCTGGGACTAAAGGCGGGCGCCACCAACGCCCGGCTGACATGAACTTTTTAGAAAGTAAGGTGGTTGGCTGTAAGTGTTACAGCTCGGAGGGGAAAGGTATCCTGGGAGTTGATAACACAAAGTTGCACTGCACAACAAACCTCACAAGAGATTTATTGGGAGAGGCACAGGAAGACTGCTGCCTACCCCCACGAGAGAAGCCACAGCGGACTGAGCAGGAGACAGGCTTTATAGTCTAGGGTCTCTTAGGGGGCGGAGCTTTGCAGGGTGGCCTGTGATGGCTGGGATTTTGTGGCCTCATCTTGGGGCAAGCTCAGGGATTGGTGAGACTCTTTTCTCCTGCTCTTGGGCTTGTTTTCTTTTTTTGTCCTGTAGGGTGAGCTTGACCACCTGCGTCTCCAGGGGCTGGAAACTGCCTTTGTGATTTTTATAGTAGTTTAGGGGTGGGACCTGG